TCACTTTATTAAACTTTATGTAACATTAATTAGTCTTAAACTCATAAAATATTTAACTGAATTTATATTCTCTCTAAATTTTAATATGTATAGTCCTCTTAAATAATCAAAATAGGTCAGTAAATCTATAGTTCTGTGCCTGTATTGCAAATTTCCACCCTGACTGGTGTCAGTGTTTTGGATTATCATTTTTGTCACTAGCATTTAATGCAAATTTACATCCATGAAAAGGGAATTGCACCTCATAATTTAAGAAATATTACTTTATTCAGTGTCCTGTACTCTAAAGTGCAGAGGAGAAAATTTAAATGAATAAAAGCATTGACTTTAAGCTTTTGTATTATTTAAAAAATGGTCTTATATGCAAAGTAAAATTACTAAGAGAAATGAAATATTCAATAAAAATTCAAACTTCCCTATTATTATGCTTCAGGAATATAATGGCTTAAGTATGCAGCTACATTTGGAATTCAGTTACCAGTTAAACTTCTTCACGCTTGGACACTGCATTAAGTTATAACAGTTGACAATGATAAAAACATAGAATATTTTGGGTTGGAAAGGACTTTTAAAGGTCATATAGTCCAAAGCCCCTGCAACAAGCAGGGGGACATCTTCAACTAGATCAGCTTGCTCAGAGCCCCATCCATGCAAGGAAAGGACCCACAGCTTTTCTACAGGCACACAGATTTGGCAATAAATTAATGTTTCTAATGCAGGTAAACTGGTCTAATTTACTTTGTGATGAAGTCAGGGGTAGCTTATAACTTAGAAACTGAAAAATGCTACTAGTTCTATATTATGGACCAAAGCACTGATAGTGCTATAAATCACAATGTCCACAGAAAAAAGATGCAATAAGTTTAGACTAAACAGATATGTGTGTGCATATGTATACATACACACAGGTATGTCATGATATATATGACATATACAGACATATATACATGTATACATATACATAAACACATATGTTATATATATTTGAATTGGGATGCATATATATGTATTTTTGTACCATTATTATTTATGGACCAAAAGGAGAGTAATCATGTCTTTTATTTTGGCCAAAATAAATGAAGAGTCCTATTTTATTTTTATTTGTTAGCTCTGATTTTACCTATTCCTTTTGTTATGTAACTTACCAACTTTTTGACTGATACCTTAGTTTCTCCACAATCTTTTCCTCTATTAATATTTCTCATTATTACTTAAAAATTACAGAGTTATCCTCATTTTTTTCCCAGCTAATCTTTTTTTTTTTCTTCCTTCTCTCGTATGTTGGGTTCTAGAGCAGTAAGCATGGAAGTGGAAAATCTATCTGGGTCTAAGAAACAGGGTGGGTCATCCTCTTTTAGTGAAATATAGAAATAGACCTTTGTGCAAACACATAATGTCATTTGATACTTTTGTCAACATCAAAGATAGTCTGGGATATTTTATCCTACAACTCCCTAATTTCACATATTTTCTTTCCATTTCTGATTTTTGAACTTAGTCTTTTAGATATTAATTGCTGCATATACCAGTTTCATGACTATCACACTATATACAGGTATTGACTCAGTCTATCTTTAAGCATGCTCCTTAGCTCCTGAAGAATATTTATTTATACATTTATATTATGTATTTAGCTGGTTCAGAACAATGGGTTGAATCCATAACCCACTGTGTAAACTGAGACTTGGAAACTTTTTAGGTCCTCTGGGACCATTCATTCTGGATAAAGTGAGTTCTGTCTACCCTAGGCCTATATGGTATATAAATAAATCTAAGGTTTTCACATCAGCAATGAATATTTTTAAAGCATTTATAGCATTTTCACTCAGACAATTCCAACTGGCAAAATTCTCTCTTCCAAGAAGGGAGGAGGAAAAATATGTAACCTACCTCCACTCTAAGCTGTACAGGAGTTTGTTAAGTAATACCTGTGCCCTGTTATCATTCTTCCCACGCTGATAATCTTGCAAATACTTGTTTGACTGTGGATTGTGCAATCAGTATATTGACAAAGCCAAAACCCAAAGCTCAAATCTAGGCTTAACAAACAGTGTAAATCTAGCCTAAAATAGGAGCTTAAACACTCTTTACATAGTTCACAGAAAGGGCAAGACAATTTAGGACACCTACTTGAAAAGACCTTTAACTTCTCCCTTAACTGTACTGGATATTTAGTTCTCTAATTGAGGCACTTAAATTGTTTACTTTGGAAAGACAAGTTGAGTATCAATATTTTGTTTGATTCCTTTTTTTTTTTTTTTAACCATGGTTCTACTGGATTTGATACCTGAGGTTTAAATTAGTCTATGGTTGATTCCCTATTTCCTCTCTCTCCTTCTCTTCTATGTAGTCTATCAAGTCTTTTTATGAAGCAATTCTGCACACACCTTTCCCATTTATTTGCTGGCGTTATAACCCACAATCTGGTTTACATTTTTTCCCTTTTTGTTCTTTCAGTCCTATTCTGCTTTCCCTATATGGGTTTTGATTTGGTCTTTCTGTTTCTTAAGTTTCACCTTCCCCATATTTCATTTGTGCTTTTCACTGCCTTTCTGTCTTCTTATTACTGTTTCATATTCCATACTGTTTTATGGCCTACTTGACAGGGATACTAGAATCACTGGTAACTGAAATAATAATTTTGGATCCCACAGTCTACCTTATCTTTTTTTGTTCTTTAGCACCACTTACACCAAACACTACCACTAACATAGCTTCCACTCATCTTCCATTGACAGCATTGAAACTGCCTAACAGATGACTTCTTACACTATGTACTTTCACAAGACCTGTCAGTTTTCATTTTCTCATTTCTACGTGTATCAGCTTCTACATACATTGTTCTACTGAAGATTTTAAAAAGACAGGATAAAGTGAATTGTATTGCCTGATTGTGACTTGAGTTACAATGAGGTACATCTGAAATTTTTTTCTGATGTCAACAAAAAAACATCAGTCTAAAGGATGGATGCCTATTTCTAATCTTGTATACAAAATCCAATTCAAACAACTCTAGCACTATCACTACATGGATATTACATAACATATATTTTAGAAAATAAAAAAAAAGGTTTCTTACTGCAGATTAATTTCTCTCTACAAGGACATTTACTAAAAGAATAACTTTAAGGGTGTCCTGGGGAAAAAAAAAATATTGAAAGAAAAAAATCAATTTAATTCTATTGACTAAGCTTCTCAGGAAATAATATATCATGACTCATATGCAATTCCAAATGAAGAAAAAGAGCACATATTTACTGCTGCCCAAACAACTGCATTTAATAATTTTCATCATCACTAATAAAATCCCAGTTTATACTTGCTTCATCATTTTACACGTTGTTTACAGAAAGCCCCAATTTCTGCAATATAAAAGTTCAAAATTGACTCCATACAAAAGCAAAGAACCCTCAAGTGGTCAAATGCCTGAGTGCTCCCTTTTTTCTCCTGTCGAAAACATACCCGTTTTTCTCCAGTAATAACCTCAACATTCCTGAACATCTTTACTTAAATTATAAACGTATTTTTTAAATCTATTGACCAAAAGCATCTGTAGAATTATCAATCCAAAATTATATATATTCTTGAACTGAACACAAAGTGTTTTTGATCATGGCTCCATGTCTCTTGTCAATAGGAATTTTTTTTTTCTATCAAACATTCCCTAATTTTTTATTAATACTGACCTGTGTTATAGCTGAAGTTGTTGCATTTTTCCCACCCTTGGGAAAAGCATTGAAACTAAAAAGAGATTCTGTAAATTTCTGGAACACTGGTAAAAAGAAGACATTACATGTGTTTCTGCAGCATTATAATTAAATTTAAACTTAGGAAACAATTTTAAATCACAGAGCTATTTAGTGTCATGATGCCATTTAACATAGATTCCTATCACTAGTTTTTATTGTAAGACCTGTTTAACAGCAAAAATATGTTCTGCCAGCCACTGTACAAACGTATATTACGATATAATTGTCAAAAGTTGGGGGGGAAGCACTTTCATTTTGTGAGATATTGACACAGTAGTACACTAAAGAACTTGCTGTTGATTGTAACTCAGGGGAATAGAAATGATAACATAACATGTCTTTCCATTTCTATCTTTCATGACATTGTAATGATTCTGTCTGACCAAGTGACTTGAGCAGAACAGATCATGAACTGTTCAGTTTTCTATACCTTACAGAAGTTATATTCTGGTGGGCTAAGAATAAAAAAGGATAATCTTAAAATATCACAAAATTAATTATGTAATCGAATAAATTAGAACTTTTTCTACTATATACACATATGATATGCATAATAGACCACTTTTTTTTTCAAGGAAATAATATAACTTGTTTTTGCTTAATTTAAAAAATCATAAAAAACCACACTAAACCTATATTTCTTTGAGTAGAGAACAGGGATACAATGTGGCTTGATTAATCCTGACAGTGTGTTGCGGTTTAACCACATTAATATACCAATTAATGGATAATACTACCAAAAAACCAAACAGAAACAGAAAACAACTTATCTGAAAACAGGCTATGGGAAAATATGCTCTCAGTCATGAAACTCTTGCTAAAAATACTTTGTAAAGTACATCATTCCATCACTGCCACAGTGTTTACAGCATTTATTTCCTATTATACTAGATAAATTAAAACATAATGATTTGATTAAAAATAAATAATACCTTGATCATTTGATAAATAAAGATGTCCTTTTTTAAAATCAGTGCATACAAGCTTGAATTTTCTCGCTAACTGGTGTAAGTTCAATAAATCTTTCCCTGCTCCTCTGCCTTTTATTTGTTGTTGTTTTTTTCTTTTTCCCACTGTTCTTCTGGTAAATATTACAAATGTACTTAAACCTTCTATACATTCTTAGCGATCTAACAATAGGTTATCGCTACTGTTCAGAATGCTGCAATAGCTTAAAAGTACTGAGTTTTCCATTAACAATTGAATATCTGAAAAATGTGGTGTCTTTTTAAAACATTTTTTTTTCCTTACCTAAGCCATGCCTATGTGTTGACATTGGTGGTAACACAGTCCAAGCTTTGGTCTTTGGATTGTAACATTCAACAGTGTTTAATGTCTTTAAACCATCCCGGCCTCCAATGACAAATAGTTTGTCATCGATAACAGCAACACCAAACTGCAGCCTCCTTCCATTCATCACTCCAGCCTGAATCCATATATTTGTTCTGAGATCATACTTTTCAATAGTTGTAGCACCTGATGAGACATAATAACAGGATAATGTATACAAAATGCATACAAAATTAGCTCTTCTTTTTTTCCTAAAAGTGTCAAAAGCTTAATACTATTTTCTGATTACATCTAACATTTTGACATATATTTTTTGTTTCTTTAGATAAAGTAGTCCCCGGAATATCTATCTATATAAATATATAGATATATATATGTGTATATATATGTTTATAAAAAAACATTTTTTCCCTCCCCAAGTGAAAAAAAACCCTAAATGGCCCCTATAAAATCAAAGTATTGCAAGTCTGAATAACAGTATGTTTTAACTTTACAATCTTTTTTTACAGTTCAGTGGCATAAGTATCTAAGATAACTAATCTTGTTACACTTGATTCCAATCTTCCATATGGTGTCAAAGAAGCCTGTGAAATTACATGGTATTTTCATCAAAGATTAGAAGTTGTATTTCAATTTAGGTTCATATTTTCTTTCTTATTTTAAGGTACTCATGTATTTTTTTTTTCAGACATGTTTCTGCTGGAAGTACAGAATGTTGTACTTACAATCTCAAGAGAAATATTTAAAGAATGTTTCCATATAGTCAAAGTCATTTCCTTCTGAACTTAATAATTTTAATTACTTTCATAGATGAACTCCAAAGTTATAAAGAGCATTAAAATGTATAAAACAACTTACCAGTTACTAATGAAACAGTCATTAAGAAGCCTCTGCTATTAAAAGTAACTTGTACGTAATATATAAAGATGAGCTACAAAATTAACTTAACTAGATTCAAGGAAGTGAAAGAGTAATGCATTCCATTAATTGTATTATGAGTGAAGGAAAAGTTAATTTGAAGCAAAAGCACAAATATTTAAATGAAAGAGTTTAAATTAATCTGTAAGAGAGATAATTCATCTGAAATGTAACCAACATTTTATTTTTACATACACATAACAGTGCTTCATTTCCAAAGTGTAGATATCCCTACAGAAAGATTCAGCAAAATTTTTAGGCTTTCCCAACTAACAGTATGGATTATAATAAAAGGTTAGAATTCCATGGGCAATAATACATTTAACATTCATTCTTTGGAACAGAAGAGCAATGAACCAAGTGGAAACAAACATCATGAAAGAAATATGTTTGTTAATTGAACTAAAAAAGATATAATTTAAATTCAATTTTTATCTAAGTGTAGCAGAGCAGCAGTAATGTACAATTCAATTGGATGTATTAAATCTCCTGATAGTTTTATGAAGCCATAAGATATATGAAGCAATTTTTGCATTCAAATAAGAGACATATTTATTTATCTTTTTGCCCCAAATGTAAAACTGAGCACTGTGTAAATGCATTAATCTTTAGGTTCAAAAGAATAAAAAATACTGATTATTTGATACAGTTGTTTGGTGGTGCTGCAAAGCATATTATAATGATACATATTAAAAAGCATTTTGTTATAACGCTTGAAATTTTCATTAAATTTCTATTTATGTTAAAATCTATTTTTGTTAAAACCTAGAACAGTAATATATGAGTTCCATAATGTAGTCCACTTCAATGGTAAAGAGTACAGTATTGTCATTCTGATTTCAGAAAACCGTACTCAATGTAAAAAATACAGCTTTTGAATTACGCTTAGCTATGTATTTTCTAATATTTGTTAATTGTCAGTTTGCCACAATATTTTATTAAAATACACATTGAGCATCTGATCTAGGAGTTCCTGGAGTGACTTGCTAATGTATAACAACAACAACAACAACAATAATAATAGGTACCGGTCCTATAAAATGGTCTTTAATATCAGGAACATGAATATAATATGCTCCAGACTGCAATGCCGACAAGAACAGAAGACCTCTTAGTCCTTGGATGAAATCAGCTCATGGATGAAGAAGAGATGACAGAATCAGCTAAAATACTATAGATGTCTTGTCAATAGGCAGAAAAGCATACTTTTAGTTTTTTTGGATGAATTTAATTTCATGCACCTCAGTCAGTTCAGTTGCCAGCACTGGAATACCCATAGACTCTCCATGGATGCTAAGATTACAAGAAGAATGTGGAAGTGACACCTTTTTAACTATATTTGATGACAATCTTCCTACAGGAAGAACTCTAGGCCTAGAATTTCTTATTAGAAATCATTAATCACTACAGGTTTTTTTACAGAATCACAGAACCATTAAGGTTGGAAAAGACCTTCAAGATCATCAAGTCCAACTGCCAACCCAACACTACTATGCCCACTAAACCATGTCCTGAAGTGCCATATCTACACGTTTTTTGAATACTTCCAGTGATGATGACTCCACCACCTCCCTGGGCAACGTGTTCCATGTTTTTAGTACATGTCATCACTGCATTCAGGCCAGCTGTATCATTTCATACCAGTCTTGCATTCTCTAGACTCTTTTCAGAAAACACAGAGCCAAATTAAATATCTCATTCCTTTACTGTAGGGACTCTCAGCATGGACAATCAGCCTGGTACTTGTAAAGTGAGTAAAACTTACCATAACGTCTCAAAAAATCCACCAACTGCAGCTGTACACAACAAAGCCTCAACAGAAAATAGCTGTGCTGAAAACATCTACAGTGTTTCGCCTATTCCTGCACTAAATAGCGAAGCAGCTGTGATACCTGTTTCTACCTCCAACCACAAAACGAAGTAACATCTCCTATTCTATTAACACATCAGTCCTGTCATGGAACAGTCTTAATATACAGCTGGATATGGCTTGTCTAAAACAAACTAATAAACAAACAAATATTTTTTTAAAAACCATGCCATTTCCTCACTATGAAGAGAGTCAAGCAAATTGAAGAGTTCCTCCATAGACATAGAATCATAGAATCATACAATCGTTGGGTTGGAAGGGACCTTTAAAAGTCATCTAGTTCAACCCCCCTGCAAGCAGCAGGGACATCTTCACCTAGATCAGGTTGCTCAGAGCCCTGTCTAACCTGATCGTGAAAGTTTCCAGGGATGGGGCATCTACCACCTCTCCGGGAAACCTGTGCCAGTGTTTCACCACCCTCATTGTGAAAAATTTCTTCCTTAGATCTAGTCAAAATGTGCCCTCTTTTAATTTAAAACCATTACCCCTTGACCTGTTGCTACAGGCCCTGATAAGAAGTCTGTCCCCATCTTCCTTATAAGATCCCTTTAGGTACTGGAAGGCTGCAATAAGGTCTCCCCAGAGCTTTCTCTCCTCCAGGCTGAACAACCCCACCTCTCTCAGCCTGTCCTCATAGGAGAGGTGTTCCAGCCCTTGTATAATTTGTGTGTCTCTCCTCTGGACCTGTTCCAACAGCTCCATGTCTTTCTTGTGCTCAGAGCTCCAGAGGTGGACAGAAGACTCCAGGTGGGGCCTCACCACAGCAGAGTAAAGGGGCAGAATCACCTCCCTTAATCTGCTGGCAATAAGGTCTCCCCAGAGCTTTCTCTCCTCCAGGCTGAACAACCCCACCTCTCTCAGCCTGTCCTCATAGGAGAGGTGTTCCAGCCCTTGTATAATTTGTGTGTCTCTCCTCTGGACCTGTTCCAACAGCTCCATGTCTTTCTTGTGCTCAGAGCTCCAGAGGTGGACAGAAGACTCCAGATGGGGCCTCACCACAGCAGAGTAAAGGGGCAGAATCACCTCCCTTAACCTGCTGGCCGCACTGCTTTGGATGCAGCCCAGGGTACAGTTGGCCTTCTGGGCTATGAGTGGACATTGCCAGCTCGTTTCCAGCTTTTCATCCACCAGTACCCCCACATCCTTCTCGGCAGGGCTGCTCTCAATCCCTTTATTACCCCAGCCTGTACTGATACTGGGATTTGCTCCGACCCAGGTGCAGGACCCTGCACTTGGCCCTATTGAACTTCAGGAGGTTCACATGGGCCCATTCCTCAAGCTTGTCCATGTCCCTCTGGATGGCATCTCATCCCTCAGGCACATCAGCCACACCACTCAGCTTGATGTAATCTGCAGACTTGCTGAGGGTGCACTTGATCCCACTGTCTATGTCACTGATGAAGATATAAAACAGTACTGGTCCCAACATAGCCCTCTGTGGGACACGACTCGTCACCGATCTCCATTTGGACATTGAGCCATTGACCACTACCCTTTGAATAAGACCATCCAAACAATTCCTCATCCACTCAACAGTCCACCCATCAATTCCATCCCTCTCCAATCTAGAGAGAAGGATGTTGTGGGGAACCATGTAAACGGCCTTATAGAAGTCCAGATAGACGACATTGGTAGCTCTTCCCTTGTCCACTAAAGTAGTCACTCCATCCCAGAAGGCCACTAGGTTGGTCAGGCAGGACTTGCCCTTGGTGAAGCCGTACTGGCTGTCTCAAATCACCTCCCTGCCCTCCATCTGCCTTAGCATAGCTTCTAGGAGGATCTGTTCCATGATCTTCCCAGGCACAGAGACATTCTGCAGTCTTCATCCTTGAAGGTTTTCAGTACCCAAATGGACATGGGTCTGACCTCATAGCTGACCCTGCTTTGAGAAGAAGGTTGGGCGAGAGACCTCCTGAGGTCCCTTCCAACCTGAATTATCCTGTGACTCTGATGATCTGGGATGGAGACTGTGGCCAGCAGTTTCTTTTCCTAGGCATGATTAACTTTCAGTAAGAGAGAAACTTATATATGATACAGTTTTATTTAAGACTATTTTATTCAATAGTGTGAATAAAGGACCATTGCAATCTTCTTCATCTTGTCTATATATGTCATAAATTTGTTTGAATTTTAAAGATTTTCTTTTAAAGATTGGCGACCTTATTGATTTTATTAATATTAAATATTTAAAGATGTTAATACAGAGAAATAAGTAATGCATAACCTCTTTAAAAAAAATGCACAGATCCAACACAATGCTTAAATCATCTCTTCTAGCTCTTTATTTAGGTATATTCTCTACTTTATTGCTGATTTTCCAAAACCTATTGATCGTATCCTCTTCTGGATCATTTTTGACAGGAATGACACTAATGTCTTTACCAACAAGGGCATTGTT